AAAAAAAAATCCTACTCCTCCCCCCGTGATCCTAATCCGCGGCCCCTCCCCCCTTAGGAACCCTTCTCCGCGATCCTACATGAATCCCACGGACCCCCCTCTCCCCGGGAAAACCCCCCTTGGGAAACCCTATTCCGCGACCACGCAACGAACCCCACGGACCCCCCCTTTCCCCGGGAGCCTCCCCCTGGGAAACCTTACACCGCGATCCTTCCCAACCCCACGGACCCCCCTTTCCCCGGGAACCTCCTCCCTTAGCGAGCCACCCTCCTCCCCCCGAGCCCGTCTTCTGGAACAAACAAAAACATCAAGAATCATTAGTATGATTTGTAACGGGGTACAAGACTGGCTACTGGACTTCTAATTATTAGGCCCTCAGTATAGTTGAGAAACTAAAATCCTCGTCATCATTCATTAGAGACGTATTTATTCTAAAAGGAATCATGTACATGGGATTCGCGTGAAGTTCAAAGCATAAAACATAAATATGCAGTATAAATATTAGGCAGTAATATATAGGCAGTATGTGCCTTTTAGCATAAATATGTCCAGTACTCTCTTGTCTAAACTTTTGTCAGGATAATATGCCATAATTGGACGTATTTCTGTCAAACGGAACTATGTGCATTAAGACATGAGCCCTGAGACCCATAGGCATGTGTGCATAACAGGGCTCTAGTCATAATGCACATAGTTCCGTATGATAGAAATGCGTCCAATTAATGAAATTTACGTCTTATTTTCCCAAAATTTAATTTGAATTGCAGTTACATACTGTCTTTGGACTACACCATGTAGCTTCAACTACAATTTTGCATTCAGTTGTAGCAACTCAACTGCATAGCGCAAAAAAACTAACTTTTCTGGTTCTTTTAAAAATCACCTATTTGTGTGTATTTGTGGAACATATGTGTTTTTTTTCAGTGGACCGGAAAGATAATTCCTTTTTGCGTTATGCAGTTTACTTACTTTCAATTGGATGCAATATTGTTTGATAGTGATACATAAGAACCATACGCAGAACTGGAAGGAAATGTAAATATTTTTAAAAAACTGCAGATGGCATTCAAGTCAAGTGCTGCACAATAGTTTTAAAATAATTCTTTTCAAAGATTTTACAAATGTAATGAATTAAAAATGGATTGAATAATTCAAATATTAAATTTTACTTTTGATAGTTTATACTATTTAAATTTTACACAACAAATACACATTCTGGAGGGCACTACTTCCGTCCTCAGTGCGGAACATTTTCTTCGTTTTTTGCAGACCTGAAACAAACTAAGAATAAAAAAAAGAAATGATTAGTCGGAGCTTAACCTAATTTGAAAATGGAAACTTTAGCGAGGAAATTTCATCGTTGATGCCAAATTTACTCGTCCAATTCGATAGTTTCCAATATTCTCTAATATGATATTAATTAATTATGTGAAATTGAATGCAATTTTTCTATATTTCTGTCATGTTTTCTTTTTTCTTTGCTACTGATTCCATGGGCGATCAATCAGGAATTTTAATGTATTTTTATAAAATTATGCCAAAATCTCTGTTAATTTTATACCATTAATGATAATTTACAATTAAAGAAAATCTGCTCAATTACAAAATTTTCACATGCCCTATGAGGAATAACACCGTATGAACATTCGAGAGTTGCAAAATTTCCCCAGATAAAACGTATATTTCTGAGGAAAGATATGAATATATTTCCTCAAACTTTTCAGGAATTTTTGGTGAAATTGCGAACAAAATTATCTGCAAGATTCAAAGAAAAATATTCATAACTTTACTGAGAAATTCGTGTTTTGTCACAAAAAATGTGGCTACGCCTGAAGGTACATACGGCGTTTTTATTCAGCACAACATCATGAAGGGGCACATAGCCTTTTAGAAAGCGCGATGAGTGACATCATCACCCGCATTGATGCACTCCGTGGTTTTAAGTATTTTCGTTCCACAAATCACTGAAAAAGGATTGCAGCGGTTGGCATTCAGAATTTGCTGCTTTTTTTGCTGTAAAGGGAGCATTTTTGGTAGACCTGAAACAAAGTAAGAATAAAAGTAAAAAAAGGAATGATCAGTCAACGCTTAACCTAACTTGAAAATAAAAACTTAAGCCAAATAATTGTTTTGTTCACTCTGAATGGCCTCTTCAAACTTGATACTTTCTAAAAGTATTGTAATCATCTAGTAGTAAAAAATCTGGAATTCATTAATGTCATTCGGAAAATAGTGCAATATTGTTCTCTACTTTTGTAATTTTTTCTTCAGCTATTGATTTCATGAGCAATTATTCAGTGTATTCTTCAGTTGTAGATTAATTAAAACTGTACGGGTACTTTCTGGTGAATTACACCAACATTTCTGTTAATTTTTACAATACTACAAATAATTGAACATTTAAAAAGATCCATCCATTTACCAAATTTTTACGTCCTAATGTAAAGGAGTATCATTAAAGTGAGACTGCAAGGTACATACCAATAAGGCGAGTTTCTTCATCATTCAAATTAATGCAAATCACCGTGATTCAACTATAATGGTACCTTTAAATCACAGATTTTCCTCGATGGTAGGACTTGGTGGACACAAGTAAAAAATGAAGTGAAAACAGCTTTCACTACGCTCGTTTTATGACGATCTGAAAAAAATAAACCAAAGTAAATTAGTTCAGGTAAATAGAGTGATATGAAAAGTAAAATGAAATTAAGTTGAACAGTTTTCAAAGTGCTCGTCTCCTACCAGTCGGTAAAAGAGCAAAATCAATAGGAGGTATTCAAAACAACAAATCAATGTAAAACCATGTGAAACCGTTTTCACTGTGTTCGTTTCTTGCCGATCTGAAAAAGAACAAAAAAAAAGACTAATATAATTAACATGGAGATGAAAATTAACATGGAGATGAAAATTACCATGATATTTGAGAGAAAAATAATAATGCTGCAATCAATTTTACTTACGATTAATACGCTGAAAGTAGCTTCCACTGTGACCCTGTCTCTTGTCAATTAGGAAGTTAGAATGAAGCGTTTGAATGGGAGGAAAAAATCCAATTCAAGAAAATAAGTTGAAACCTCTGCACACGGTGCTGGAAGCGCTTTCACTGATTTAGTTTCTTGCCGATCTGAAAAGAAAGAAAAATCAAGAGAGCAAAGCTAGTGAAGAAACATCTAATGTAAATTGGACGTGTCTCTGCGAAACGGAGCTATGTGTATTCTGAGCCCTGTTATGCATATATTCTTACGAGTCTCAGGGCTCATGTCTTAATGCACATAACTCCATTTGGCAGAAATACGTCCAATTAACGGTGCAGCTCATGCGCAATTTTTTTTATTTATTGAAAATTTAGCAGGAAGTAGTATATATATGTAGACGGCTGATGTGACGTTTCAAATCGATGTTCATGTCTAATTCTTTTTTTGCAAAAACTAATCAGCAATTTTTCAAATTTTTGAGAATTGTCTTCTCTTCTTCGAATATATTCATGGAGAATGAATGGAAGATACGTCGGGCTAATTTTCTTGGAAAAAGTAAAACACTATTGAATATTTAGAAATTTTCAAGCGATGTAATAGTGCTGCGCATTCATTAACAACAGCCATTTAATTTGATGTCTTTCTCAATGCAAAACAATGACCTGAAGAGGGGAAAAAACGTTACTCTCAGTCTAGAAAAATAGGAAAAATAATGTAAATCATTGTTGATTTCATTTTGATAATTTCTTTCTTCGAAGAATAAAAATTCTACTGATCGAAAAATGAAAACGTGAATCGATCGACATGAATCGATCGACAAATTATTAAAAAACCGGTGTCGATTCGATCGACATGAATCGATCGAAAAATGAAAACGTGAACCGATCGACATAAATCAATCGACACAGATTCGATCGACAAATTATTAAAAAACCGGTGTCGATTCGATCGACATGAATCGATCGAAAAATGAAAACGTGAATAGATCGACATGAATCGATCGACAGTTAATTCAAAAACACCCATATCGATTCGATCGACATGAATGGATCGAAAAATCAAAACGTGAATCGATCGACACAGATTCGATCGACAAAATTCGATCGATTCACGGATTTGTCGATCGATTCACGGGTTTGTCGATTGATTCACGGTTGTCGATCGATTCATGTCGATCGATTCATGTCGATCGAATCGACACCGGTTTTTTAACAATTTGTCGATCGAATCGGTGTCGATCTATTCATGTCGATCGATTCACGTTTTCATTTTTGGATCGATTCATGTCGATCGAATCCATACCCTCCCTACTGATTCATAATATTTTGAAATAGGCCCGACCGTGAAATAGGAAAGGAAAATAATAGGATGAACCTAGTAAAATTTAAACTTTCAAAACAAAATGTTCAAGGATAATTTACGATAACTTTACGATTCAAAAGTAGAGATTGAAAATAGAAAAATTAAATTTTAAAATTTGAAAAATAAAATTTCAAAAACTAAACAAAAATTTCAAAATTTCCAAAGTAAAATATTCAAAGATTAAAAATTTTAAGACTCAAAAGTGGGAATTGAGAATAGAAAAATAAATTTTAAAATTTGAAAAATAAAAAGTTTACAGTTTAAATATAATGAAGATAGAAGGTATGATAAAATTATTATCTGCTATACTCACATACTAGGAGATTAACTCATGTTGCGATTCCGCTTGCTAATTGCACTGCACCTCTAAACCACTGCACCATCAAACTACCGTACAGCTAATCCACTAAACCACTGACCCACTAACCCACAGACCTGATCACCCATTGAGCCCCTTCGCTCACTAAATCCACACTAATTGAACTTTAGGGGTGGGGTTGCTCTTTTATATGCTCGGTCTGTAGCCACCACAAGCAACCCTCCAACCTCCCCTCCCTGCTGACCACTCTTGCAATTAGGATGTCATTTAGTAACTATTTCCTTGTTTTCCAGTGCCGGGAAATCCGAAATTTTTGGAACAAAGGAAGGAAGGGACATTCCGTCGTAAACACCATTAGCCAGGAGTGCGCAAGGGCCTTTTGTTTTTTTGAGACGACGGCACCTCACGTGTCCAAAACAATGAAAGGGAACTGCCCTGCGAGTATTTTTTTTTTTCGGTCCATCATATCCCCGTGCTACGGGAGAAGAACGCCGCACGGTGGATCGAGTCAATGGTACAGGTCGGTCATGGGCGATTCGGGCGAATCGCATTTTTTAAGGGTCAAAAGTGTTCCTCAAGAGTTATATTTTAAGGATCTGACATTGATTTGGAACGAAACATGTTCATTTTTGTGACTGAAGGCATCAAAGAGGGGCTTTGCGTAACTTTTTATTTTAGCGAAAAATCGTCCGAGTCTTTCTATTCCATTTAACTCGCTTCTGTTTAAATTAATGCTAATTTCATTGACATATTCTTGTTCTTCAGAGTCTGGAGAACACATTGCACTAGTAATTTTTTGTATTTGGCCCATTTTCTCAATGATTATGTTTGCGCTAATGTGCTCATCTCTAAAAGCGAAAAAAAAAAGTTTAGGTAAACTTTTAACTACCCATCCGCCACCATCCGCCAGAAAAATTTGTATAGGCATGTTCGTAGGAGTCCTGAGAATACGATCCCGCAAAATTTGGGTGCCACTTTGCGCCACTTTGGCCGTGACGTCACTTTTTCTGTTGCGTTCCGAGATTGTGCGCGAGCCTTATCTCGAAAATCAAGCGACCGGTGAGCTGCCGCGGCACTTAGCTTGCTTCTGTTTAAATTAATGCTAGTTTCATTGACATATTCTAATTTTCCAGAGTCTGAGGAACACATTGCACTAGTAATTTTTTGTATTCGGCCCATTTTTTCAATGATTATGTTTGCACTAATGTGCTTATATCAAAATGCAGAAAAAAAAAGTTAAGGTAAACTTTTAACTACCCATCCTCCACCATCCGCCAGAAAAATTTGTAAAGGCATGTTCGTAGGAGTCCTGAGAATACGATCCCACAAAATTTGGGTGCCACTTTGCGCCACTTTGGCCGTGACGTCACTTTTTCTGTTGCATTCCGAGATTGCGCGCGAGCTTTATCTCGAAAATCAAGCGACCAGTGAACTCTCGTAACTGCTAAATGACCCAGGTAGGTATGATTCCTGTTCATCAGAAACTGAAAAACAAGTTTCACCATCAAGACGTGCTCTTTGGCCCGTTTTTCGTATTTTCATTATTTCCAAAACTACATATCTATAGGAGAACTAAAAAAAAAATCTGGCATATTTTCACTCGGACATCCCTATATATTCCTTATAGAAAGCTTTTTTGGGACGTATGCGTAGATAGCTAGCTTGAGGAAACTTTTAGCAAGTAAACCCCCCCCCTTTACTTGCCTGGCCCCTGACTATGATGCCATTTTATCTGTTGGCCTCCGCGATCGCGCGCGACCGGTCACTGGTGAACTCTGATAACTGATGCTTCTTTCAAATACGTACATATTTTTTAATTTTTCACCTATTTCGATGTAAACAAAGTGCAGTTAGTGCAAAACTAATTACACTGCGAGTACGTTTTAACGTTACAAGTCCAGGAAATTAGGAATTTTTGCGGTTTTTTGCGTTGCTTGTTTTTTAAGTTTGATGCGGTTTGAGAGCGGAAGACGAGGATGAGAGTGATGGGAAACTGAATATGAAGAAGAAAAATAAGGAGAAGCAGATGACAGATGACTGTTACATGTTAAATTTTTTTTTTCTTTTCTTTTTTTTCTAGCCATCTAGTGTTTTTCCTACTCTAAGTCCCTGTTCCGTCCTCTGAATGTAAATATGAATTTAAAGTAAAAGTGATCTTGAATATTTTCAAAGAATTCATAAATGTATTTCATTTGTTTTCTCACCGATCTTTATGCATAAGAATGATATCTTATGACAAAGTTTCGAAATTAACTTTGCAGTGAAGGGAATGATTTATCTGATGCAGCAGCTCATAACTGGGGAGGTATTTTTGCGTATTTGTGACACTTATTAGTAAGTTTTCATAATTTTATTCATAATTTATCCTCTTCCATCATGAAAAATTAAAAACTCCGTCCTACGAAGTAAAACACAGACGCCTAAACTTTGCACCTGTATAGCTTTCCCGACAAAATGCACAAATACGGGTCTTCAGGTACGTTGTTCACCAAAAGTAACATCAAAAATGAATTCTACGCGAAAAATTACATGAAGTAAGTGGTACATAATCGATCAAATGACCAGGAATATCCGTTATCCTCGTAACATTGGAAGCGCAACGCTCCATGACCGACCTCTCCCATTGACTCGATCCACCGTGCGCCGTATGAACATTCAAGCGTTGCCAAACACTCCTCTAAAAAATACAAATTTATTTTTTAAGAAAGCTACAAATATTTTTCCTTGATATATTCAGGTGTAGCGTTATTTTACGATCATAGGACCATAGGTGGATCCAAGGGGGGGGGGGTGCAGGAGTTCTACGCCCCATCCTCGTTCGTTCGATTGTAGCGGTATTAAAATGATTGACTCAAGTACTTACGTCTAGAAGACACGATCGTCACACTAAACATCCAATGCGGTGCGACGTTCGTGACAAATTTTAAACAAAAACGGCGGGTGTACTCAACAGCAATGAGGTGCAATATCGAAAGTTGGTAAACTTGCAATTAGTATTAAGGACCATAAAGTGGGCACAAAGATTTTTCAGAATATCACACGCTTCATAAAATAAAGGGCGTGACGGTCGTGACGCAAAAAAAGGTTCAGTTAAGTATACTTACCTTTCAAATCGTGGTAGAATTTTCAAAATGACGTTGGGCGATTACTGCACAAGGTTTCACCATAGGAACACTTCACTTCATTTAACTTGTACACTTTCAAATCACTTTCGCAACGATTTAATCGCTCCTAGCGACCGTTTTGACAAGCAAAAACACCTGGGACGGTCTTGTGAAACTTAATGACAGCATATTTTCGAAATATTTTGGGTGGATGACAATTTTTTTTCGTAATCAAATGCAGTGTTTACTCAACTGCAAGTATTTTGATGAAATTAGGACAAAAATCAGCAAAATTAATCAGGCCAAAAACAAAAGTATGAGGTTGTAAACATTGCAACCTACTAGTCATGACAGTGACGGTCGTGACATTTTAAGCAGTAAAATCTGAAAATGAAGCTTAATCCATCAATTTACACAATTGTAATGGTTATAATTCGTTAAAAACACTCATTTTCCATCAGATTTGGTGAAATGTGAGACTTTTTATCACACGTTTTACAAATAAAACGATAATGACTGGAATTGGACAGTTTTCGTAGAATTACCCTTTTTACGGCAGAATAGGCTTTTACCACCTTTTGTTTTAATTCTAACATTACGTATTTCAAGGAGCGATATCATACCAAAACAGTGGCAAAAATTGGACTGTATTTTGCAATTTGGAACTATAAATTCTGGCTCGTCTGGAAAAACACTTATGTTCATAGGGAAACTAATGGTACATACGTTGTTTTTAAGCCGGGCTAGAATTTATGTTTCTAATTTGCAAAATGTAGTCCAATTGAAATATGTACATACACGTGTGAAAAGTGATGATGAACATGTGGCCGGTGTGATGAACATGCGACGCCGCACAGTGAATCGAGTCAATGGTAGAGGTCGGACAAAGTTTGAAAACTTCAAAAGCTTATAACTTCGTTTTCACAAAATTTTGAGATCTAAAAAATGGCCCCGTTGGTTTTCTCGTACAATTTTCCTCAAGAAATATCTCTCAAAATTTAAAACTGGACGAAATAATCATCCGCATTTGCGGTTTTAGTGAAAAAATTAATGTCCCGCCACTTTCATTGATTCGGTCCATTGTGCGCCGTCCGCATGTAATCGGGCCGAGGTTGAAGTCGATTTGCTTTTGGAAGTCTATTCTTCATCGATATAGTTCATCCTTATCAGCAGGAATTGGTAATGAGTCTCCTACCTTCCATTTATATGAAAATACATAGGTCTTCTCTGAGATGGACTGGTGAAATATAGGTGAAAATTCGGTTGGATTGCATTTAGCCAGGGGCGCATCATGTTCTCGGCCTACGCAGATTCGGTAGTAACCGGGGATTCAGCCTACGTACTATGACATCGCGCGTTCAAACACAGCGCGTTTAACATCAGTAAAAATTTCAGTAAACATCCATGGCATAAGTTTTCGTAAAAATCAGTGCTTTAAGCGTTCACTTCTCAGAATGAAACCGATTCCTCGATTCGTGTAACCCAAGGTGTCTGCTAGTCCGGAAATATTACTGATTTTCAAGGATGGTCCGGAAGTACCCAATGAAAAAGTGGTTGGTTTCCGCAAGAAGGTGCGGAATTTTTTCCTTCTTACCACGCGTGTTTTTTTCATGAAGCCTGGAAAGTATACAATTCCCTGCGCGTTGATACTCAGAGCAGTATTAGCCTGGAAAATTGCGATTGTGCAGTTAGATAATCTTCAAGCCGCTAATGCAATTTCGTGGCTACATCATTTATGTCGCCATTCGAGCAAAAATTTCAAATTTCGTCAAATAAAGGTACTGAATTTCTTGGGAATGCACTGAAAAAGTACCGTAAAATTACTGATTTTCGGTCAGCCTGTTTTAACACACACCCCAGTGGCGTGGCGTGAATTGCGTTTTATCGATCATTATGCTATTTAAGCCTATGGAAAAGGATCGATAGACAGATAATCGATATCTTACCATAATAATCGATTCTTTACCATAGATTTAAATGGCATAACAATCGATATATCGCAATTCACGCCTCGCCACTTACACACCCGCCTGTGTA